TTCTTTTTTCTCAGGATTGCTTTGGCAACTCATGGTGTTTTGTGGTTCCATATAAACGTTAGGATTATTTGTTCTAGTTCTGTGAAAAATGTCTTGGGTATTTTGATAGGGATTGCATTAAGTCTGTAGATTGCTTTGGGTAGTGTGGCCATGTTAATAATATTGATTCTTCCAATCCAAGAGCAAGGGATATCTTTCCATTTCTTTGAGTCATCTTCAATTTCCTTCATCAATGCTTTATAGTTTTCGGTGTACAGTTCTTTCACTTCCTTGGTTAAGTTTATTCCTGGGTATTTTATTCTCTTTGATGTGACTTTACATGGGATTTTTTTTAACTTTCTCTTTCGATGTTTCATTATTAGTGTATAGAAAAGCAACAGATTTCTGAATCTGTATCATGAATCTTGTATCCTGCTTGTATAAATAGTTTTCATGAAATTTGTAAATGGGAATATGTCACCTCAAAAATCCAAGTAGGAAAAAAAAAATCCAAGTAGGCCTAAGAAATATTATTAGAAAACTCTTTAATAAGCATTTGGGGGAACTCCCTGGTGGTCCAGTAGTTAAGACTCCACGCTTTCACTGCTGAGGGCTTTGGTTCAATCTCTGGTCAGGGAACTACGATCCTGCAAGCCACACAGCGCAGCCAGAAAAAAAAAAAAAAAAAAAAAAAGCATTTGGACACTTCTGTGGAAAGTGTTGTCAATAAAATGTCACACTTGGATTCTGCGGACAACTACATGTGACCGAGGGTCTGTCTGCATGGATTTCATGCCACAGCTGGGCTCTTCAGGTATCCTGGGGAGTGGAACACAGGTGTACCGTGCCTGGTCCAAGGTGAATGCAAATTGCTGAGGGTGACGGTGTGCCACACGGGAGAGCCCCGATTGAACAGTGGGGCCTCCAAGAAGGTTAACAGGGTAATCCCTTAGCCCTCTCTGCTGGAGCTCCACACAGAGAAGGACTTACCTCAGAAAGAACTGTGGGTGTACCTTTCATCACATGGACTGAACTTCAGTGAGAGTCACAGAATTCCCACAAAGTTTTTGAGAAATTTCGCCAGCTTGGACTGAAAGGACGCAGACAGTTCAAAACAAAAAGAGGCCATCAGAACCCTGCCGAATCCATCAAATTCTACCGGCAGGAAGTAGGCTGAGAAAACCACTCAGCTGCAAACACATGCTTCCTTTCATGAAAAAGGAAGGACTCAGACGACCAGGACCCAGAGAGCAGAGCCAAGAGCCATGGAGAATTCTTCCCAAACCTTGGAAGCTGATCAAAGAACTTCCAGCATGTTCCTGGCTGGATTGCAGAATTGCTTTGGACCATGGGACTTCCTGGTGGTCTAGTGAGTAAGACTCCATGATCCCAATGCAGGGGTCCCGGTTTCGATCCCTGGTGGGGGAACTAGATTCTGCATGCATGCCACAACTAAGAAGTCTGCACGCCTCAACTAAATATCCTGCATGCCACAACTAAGACCTGGCACAGCCAAAATAAATAAATAAAAATAAATAAATATTTAAAAAAAAAAGAATTGCTTTGGACCAGTCTGGTCCACTGTGCCTCACATTTTCTCCCTCTTTTAACGGGAATGTCTATGGCAGTTATCCTGCACTGAGGTTATAAGACTGCAGTCAAGGCATCAGCCAGAATTCCAGGCATCTCAGGGCTCAGATGGGAGTAAACAAGAGAAGAAGGAGAAAGAGCATGAGCCGATGGAACAATAGTCTTTTAAGTTTCATGGAAACAAAATTCAAATAACACGCAACTCACCATTTTAAAGTTGCAATTCAGTGGCATTTTCTGCATTTGTGATATTATGCAATCCATACCCCTCTCTAGTTTCAAAACATTTTCGTCACCACTAGATGAACACCCTGTACCCATTCAGCAATCACTCCCCATTTTTCCTGTCCCCAGACCTTGGCAGCCAACAGCCTGCTTTCTGTCTCTATGGCTTTGCCTATTCTAGACATTTCATGTAAAAGGAAGCATGCAGTATGTTTGGTATCTGTTTTTTTCCACTTAACATAATGTTTTCAAGTTTCGCCCATATCGTAGCACATGTATCACTACTTCATTTAAAAAAAATAGACTTTATTTTTTATCGCAGTTTTAAGTTCACAGCAAAACTTCATTCCTTTCTATGGCAGAATAATATTCTATTGTATGGCTATACCATATTTGGTTTATCCATTCATCCATTGATGGACATTTGGGTTGTTTCCATATTTTGGCTGCTGTGAATAATGCTTCCATGAACATTTATGAACAAATATTTGTTTGAACACCTGTTTTCAGTTTTGGGGGGTATACACCTAGGAATGGAATTGCTTAGTCGTGTGGTATCTATGTTAAACTTTTTGAGAAACTTGCAAACTGTTTTCCAAAGCAGACGCACCATTTTATATTCTCACCAGCGATGTATGAAGATTCTAATGTCTACACATCCCAACCAAGACTTGTTATTTTCTGTTTTTATGGGGTTTTATTGTTGTCATCTCATTATAGCTATCCTAATGGGGGTGAAGTGGTATCTTATTGTGGTTTTGATTTGCATTTCCATAATGATCAATGAGGTTAGACGTCTTTCCATATGCTTTTTGGTCATTTGTACATCTTCTTTGGAGAAATGTCTATTCAAGTACTTTGTCCATATTTAAATTGGGTTGTTTGCCTTTTTGTTGCTGACTTGTGAGAGTTCTTCATATATTCTAGATATAGAACCCTTACCAGATATAGGAATTGCAAATATTTTCTCCCATTCTGTAGGTTGTCTTTTCCCTTTCTTAATAATGTCCTTTGATGCGCAAAAGCTTTAAATTTTTGTGAAGCCCAATTTATCTATTTGCTCTTTTGTTATTCGTGCTTTTGGTGTCAAATTTAAGAATCCATTGTCAAATCCAAGGTCATGAAGATTCACCCCTATGTTTTCTTTTTTTAAGTAGCGTGCAATATTTTTCCCACTGTATTCTCTCTCTCTTTTTTAGAAGTTTTATTTTCTTTTATTAATTAATTTATTTATGTATTTATTATTTTTATTTTTGGCTGCGTTGGGTCTTAGTTGCAGCACCCGGGATCTTCTCTGCAGTGTGCGGGCTTCTCTCTAGTTGTGGTGTGTGAGGTTTTCTTTCTCTAGCTGAGGCACGTGGGCTCAGTAGTTGCGGCGCACAGGCTTAGTTGACCCGTGGCACGTGGGATCTTAGTTCCCCGACCAGGGAACCTGCGTCCCCTGCATTGGAAGGCAGATTCTTTACCACTGGACCACCAGGGGAGTCCCCCCATCCCTATGTTTTCTTCTAAGAGTTTTATTGTTTTAGCTCCCATACTAGGTTGTTGACACATTTTGAGTTAATTTTTATACGTGGAGTGAGGTAGGTATTCAGCTTCTTTGGCCTGTGGTTGTCCTGGTAACCCAACACCATTTGTTGAAGAGACTATTCTTTCCCTACTGAGTGATCTTGGCACCTTGTTGGCAATCGATTGCTCATAGATGTTTGGGTTTATTTTTAGTCTCTCGGTGCTATTCTATTGGTCTATATGTCTGTCCTTGAGCCAAAACCAAACTGTTTTTTGTTTTTTGTTTTTTGTTTTTTTTTTGCGGTACGCGGGCCTCTCACTGTTGTGGCCTCTCCCGTTGCGGAGCACAGGCTCCGGACGCGCAGGCTCAACGGCCATGGCTCACGGGCCCAGCTGCTCCGCGGCATGTGGGATCTTCCCGGACCAGGGCATGAACCTGCGTCCCCTGCATCGGCAGGCGGACTCTCAACCACTGCGCCACCAGGGAAGCCCCCAAACTGTTTTTGATTACTATAACTTGAAGTAAGTTTAGAAATCAGGAAATGTAAGTCCTCTTCGTTTTTCTTTTTAAGTGTATTTTTGGCTATTTAGAGCCCCTTGCAATTATGTATGAGTATTGGCTTTTCCATTTCTGCAAAACATTGCAGTTTTGATAGAGATTACATTGTATCATAGATCGCTTTGGGGAGTATTGCCATATTAAAAATTATTCAGTTTTCCAGCTCTCGGGTCCTGCTTCCAAGATGACCAGGAAAAGAAGGAACAATAGTTGTGCCTAAAAGGGCTGTGGCAACATGCAGCCTACTCGTTGCACCAACTGTGCCCAGTGTGTGCCCAAGGGCAAATCCATTAAGAAGGTCATTATTCAGGGACTTCCTGGTGGCGCAGTGGTTAAGAATCTGCCTGCCAATGCAGGGGACATGGGTTCGAGCCCCGGTCCGGGAAGATCCCACATGCCACGGAGCAACTAAGCCCGTGTGCCACAACTACTGAGTCTGTGCTCTAGAGCCCCCGTGCCACAACTACTAAGCCCCAGTGCCACAACTGCTGAAGCCCACACGCCTAAAGCCTGTGTTCCGCAACAAGAGAAGCCGCCACAATGAGAAGCCCACGCACCGCGACGAAGAGTAGACCCTGCTCGCCGCCACTAAAGAAGGCCCACGCGTAGCAACGAAGACCCAATGGAGCCAAAAAATAAATAAATAAACATTTGAAAAAAGAAGTTCATCATTCAAAACACAGCAGAGGCTGCAGCCATCAGGGACATTTCTATTTTTTTAAATATTTATTTTACTTGTTATTTATTTTTGGCTGCGTTGGGTCTTCGTTGCTGTGCGTGGGCTTTCTCTAGTTGCAGAGAGTGGAGGCCACTCCTTGTTATGGTGCGCGGACTTCTTATTGCGGTGGCTGGGACTTCCCTGGTGGCGCAGTTGTTGAGAATCTGCCTGCCAATGCAGGGGACACGGGTTCGAGCCCTGGTCCGGGAAGATCCCACATGCCATGGAGCAACTAAGCCCATGCACCACAACTACTGAGCCTGAGCTCTAGAACCTGCGAGCCACAGCTACTGGGCCCACGTGTCACAACTACTGATGCCCATGTGCCTAGAGCCCGTGCTCCACAATAAGAGAAGCCACCACAGTGAGAAGCTTGTGCACCACAATGAAGATGGTCCCCACTCGCCGCAACTAGAGAAAGTGTGCACGCAGCAAAGAAGACCCAATGCAGCCAAAAATTAATTAATTAATTAATTTAAAAAAACACAAGAAGCAGGGCTATTTCTATGGTTGGGTATCTGAATAAATCTTATCTGTAGCGAGTATAGACTAGAATGAGGGTAAAGCTGTAATTGGTCCAGCAGTTACCCATACTAGCCAGGATAGTGGAACGCTTAGTCACTTTTGTGGTCTGGACAACGTTCATGTTTGGGGGATGATGGTGTGTCAGGGGAGGTTTGTTGGTTGTAACAAATGTACCCCTCTGGTGGAGGATGCTGACAGTGTGTGTGGAGGGGGGACAAAGGGAACTCTCTTTATTTTTTGCTCAATTTTGCTGTAAACCTAAAACTACTCTAGAAAATAAAGTGAATTAATTTTAAAAAGATGCTTGGCAAAGGATTACTGTTGCAAATATATAGAGAATTCCTACAAACCAGTAAGACAAAAGAAAAATAAAACAATAGGAAACTGAGGAAAAAACTGAACTGACAGGAAGCCTGAATGGCCCACATGCCAATGACAATATGGTCAGCCTCGATAGCAACTGGGAGAACGTAAAGTAAAACAATTGTAAATGCCTTTGCACATCTATTGGATCAATTTCCTAAGACGGCCGTAACAAATTACACAAGCTTGGTGGCTTAAAAACCAGATGTTTATTCTTTCACAGTTTTGGAGGGCAGGAGTCTGAAATCAAGGTGTCACAGGGCCGTGCTCCCTCCGAAGCCTCTAGGGGAGGATCCTTCCCACCTCTTCCGGCTTCTGAGGGTTCCAGGCATTCCTTGGCGTGTGGCGGCATCACTCCAGTCTCCGCCTCGTGTTCACATGGCTTTCTTCTCTTCTGTCTCAAATCTCTCTCTTCCTTTTTCTTATGAGGACCCTTTTCATTGGATTTAGGGCTTTCCTGAACAATCCGGGATGATCTCATCTCAAGACCCTTAACTTGATTACATCTTGAAAGACCACTTTTCCAAATAAGATCATATTCCCAGGTTCCAGGACATGCACATACCTTCGTGGGGAAGGGTGGCACCATTCAACCTGCTACACCCATTGGCAAAAAATAAAAAGTCCAACCATACCAAGTGCTGGAGACCATATGGAACAAGGGGACTGTCATACAATTGTCAACAGGACTTTTAATTAGTCTCTTTGGAGGCAGCATCCACAATCCTGGGAAAGTTGAAGATGTATGAACCGTATCACCTGTTTCACTCCCAGATACACACCAAGAGACGTGACCCAATGTTACTGGCAGCAATGTTTGTAATCCACAAAAAGGGAGCACTTCCTAAATGTCCACCAGCAGCGGAATGGGTAAGTAAACTGTGGTGTGTTTATTCAACCACAGTATGAGTAAGTACGGATCATGGTGGGAAAACCTCAGAAACAGAATGTTGAGGAACAAAGCACATTGCAGAAAGATAAGAATATGACACCAGTGGTCTAAAGTTTAAGCTATGCAAAGCAATCCTATGTAACGTTCAATGATAGCAGATATACACCAAGAGCACGATGACACAGGGTGATAAACGTAAGGCAAAGGTCTGACGAAGCTGGGTGGTGTGTACATGAATGATTATATGCTATCCTGTGTGTTTTTGTGTGCTTGAAACATCGCATAAGGCATAAAGAAAAAAAGAGGATTCTGTGTGTCCCAAATCCTAGTGTTCTCCATATTCTGAAGTTTAGAGCGGCTAAGAAGAGCTTGAGCTCTCAAGACCACACGTTTCCCTGGGTCCACGGTGCTAAAGCAGAGTGGTTCTGGGGTTTTCCCACACTGAGATTCAAGCCCGTCCTGGGACCACAGCTCCCCAGCTGCCCCTCTGCCCCGTGGTGTGAGGGGCATGCAGGCTCCTCTGGCCCTGCCTCTGCTCCTTGCCACACCCTCACCTGGCTGGGTCCTTGGGGCTGGAAAGGACACATCAACCTTTGTCCCTCCCACCACCCCTTAGGCTTCTCACTGCCTGCAGTGCTTTGAAGTTTCTGGAAGCATCCCACGGGGTCCGATAACTACCTCCCAGCAACCTTGTCAGATGGGTGTCACTTTTTTGCTTCTTTTTCCCCATTCTATGAATGGAGAGACTGAGGCTCTGGGCTTTCTGGACAGGGTTGGTTCCTGTCTGAAGAGCTTCCACGTGGAAGAGGCCCGGAGGGATGCTGCCAGGGGCCCCCAGATCTGTCACAAACCTATTGGGTAGCTTTTCCCAGGAATGACCAGGGAGCAACCACCTGCTCCACCCAGGGAATCCAGTGGCAGTTTCTAAATCCATCTGAACCTTGAGATCATTTGGGAGCTGGTTAAAAACGCTGATGCCACCTGCTGGGGCAGAAACACAGAGTGAGCCCCTGGAATCTTCAGGTCCCCAGGGAGGTTCGAGGGTCCCTGAATTAATCTGTTGAGTCCCACTGAGGAGGCCGGGGTCCTGGAGTCCTGGGCACTGCTGTTATTTTTCCCCCCAAGAAGGATCCCCCTCACAGGGCACCCAGCAACTTGGCTCTCTCCCTGCTCCTACCTGAGGGAATAGAGGGTCCCTTTCTCCAGGCCCCGCCCACCAGGTGGAGAATCATGCCAGGTCCGTATCTTAGGCAGCTTGGGCTGTTCTAACAAAATACCACAAACATTTCTTTCTTGCAGTTCTGGAGGCTGGAAGTCCAAGACCAAGGTACCAGCTGATTAGGTTTCTCATGGGGGCTCTTTTCTTGGCTTGCAGGTGGCTGTCTTCTCCCTATAGCCTCTCGTGGCAGAGAGAGCCAGCAATCTCCCTAGTGTCTCTTCTTATTAGGGCACCGATCTCATCACAGGGGCCCCACCTCCTGACCTCCTCTAACCTTAATCACCTCCCAAAGACCCCAGCTCTAAATACCACACACTGGGGGTTAGGGCTTCAACATATGAATTTGCGGAGACACCATTCAGACCACAGGAGTCTGTCAGATCTCACTGGAAGGTCATGGCCTAGACCAGAGGCTGCTGCTCTGCCCTCAGATTTGTCACAGCAAATCCCTCACTCCCCTACCCTGGCTGGTGGTTACTTCCTGGAAAACACAGAAACCCCCAGAGGAAATCGCCCCTCATTCTCCCACCCCCAACTCTGCAAAGCCCCATCCCACATCCACACGCGCCACCCCCGGTGACATCCCCATCAAGGGGATCATCCTGTAAGCACCCAGCGTGTCCCTGGACCACCACTCGCTACCCGACCCTGCCTGTCAGCCGTCACCCATTCTCTGCTTCCCTAGAGCAGCAGAACCTCTTGCAAGAATCATCTAGGGTGGTGGCTCTCAACCGGGCTGATGTCATTCCCCTGGGGACACTTGGCAGTGTCTGGAGACCTTTCGAGTTTTTGAGGAGGTGTGTCCCCATAAGAGAGAGGCAGAAGGAGATGCGACACACACGGCGAAGGCCATGTGAGGACAGAGGCAGAGCTGGGAGGGCTGTGCTAGAAGCCGAGGAGCGCCAGCAGCCACAGAAGCCAAAGGGGCCAGGGAGGACCCTCCCCTGGAGCCTGCAGAGGGGGTGCAGCCCTGGCAGCACCTGGATTTCGGACTTCTGTCCTCCGGGACTGGGAGACAGTAACCCCGCCGTTTCCAGCCTCCACGGTTGCGGCCGTTTGTTAGGGCAGCTGCAGGAAACTCATCCGACGGGTTTGCAAAGCATCTTACAATCGTTTTATTCTGCGTTTCGCAATTGCTCTGGAGGTTTTTGGACATATTTTCATTGGCTTGCGGGTTATTCAGGCTGCTTACCGGTTCCATTCAGTTTAGTTTGTTTCGTTTTTTTGTTTGTTTGTTTGTTTTTTGGCCGCGAGGTGAGGCTTTCGGGATCTCCCCGACCAGGGACTGAACCCACGCCCTCGGCAGTGAAAGCGCAGAGTCCTAACCGCTGGACCGCCAGGGGATTCCCTAGTTTGTTTTAACAGGTTTACTGAGATACAATTCACCCCTTTGAAGTGCATAATCCGATGGTTCCAGGGAGGTGGGCCTCGTCGGTCTCTAGCCCCCGCGCCCTGCTCTTAGACTGGACTTGCCAGCCCTGGCTTCCCTTCTGGTGTCTTGTGTGGCTCCCGCTGGCCTGGTTCCAGTCACAGCCAGGGATGATGCCCACGATGCCAGGGGGTTCTCACGCTGTGCCTGGAACAGCTCTCCACAGCCCTTGGCCGCGGGTGTTTTGGTCCCTTGGGACAGGCTGGGGGTTGCTGGGGGGACAGGGTCAGACCATACATGAGGGATAGCGGTGGGGCCTGAGCCCATTCTGCTGCTTCCCAGAACCTAGCAGGTGCTCAAGAAAGGCTCGTGGAAACATTAGTAGCCAACACTTAAGAGCGCCCGATTTTGCGCCAGGAGCTATGAAATGTCTTGTCTATTCTTTCATCTTCTCATGTGATCCTCTCAAGAACCACGACAATTAAGTGCAAATGTTACCCCAGGGAGGCTCAGGGAGGTTAAGTAACTTGCCTAGGGTCACACAGTAAACAGAAGAATAAGGGAAAAAAGGAATGAGGTGTGCCGCCCTGCAGCCACAGGTTCCCCAGCCTGTCCAGGCTCTCTCTGCAGCTGCCAGGGCCCCTCCCTCTGCCCCAAGGATGCCAGTCGGGCACATTAGGAGCATGCAAATGAAGGAGCCCTGCAGGGTGGGGATGGGGGCATAGACTTGAGGACCTGGTGCAGGGGCTTCGGTGGGCTGCTGAGGGTGCAGGCTGAGGGCGTCCTGGAGGAGGCTGCCAGGGTCCCACTGATATTTTCATCCTGTAACCTTTCTCCTTATCAGGTAACTTTCTGCCAGGCCCTCCCCAGTGATCACAGAGCAGCCTGGAGTTGCCAGACCTGTTCCCAGGCCAGCTGTGCCAGGTCAGGTGAGGCAGCTGCCAGAGGCGCCGATGTATAAGCCAGGAGGAGGCCAGACTAGCTGGAGCTTCGGTGAGGTCAGCCCGGGTGCCACGCCACTGCCAGACGTGGGCCCGCGACATCTGGTGGGGGGCTGCGCAGGCTCCTGGGAGGCAGAGGCAGGGGTGAGATGGGCCAGGAGCAGAGTCAGCACACGTGAAGGCAGCATGTCAGGCAGAGAGCAAAGGCTCAGCAAAAGGGTCCAGGGTCGGAGCCCACACCTGCGGGGTACCTGGGGTCCCGGGGTGAGGGCCAGCAGCACGAGGTGCGGGGAGATGAATGGGATGTGAGTCCACAGGGTGGGGGGCCATGGTCCTGGGGCCTGGCTCAGCACAGGGAGGTGGGTGCTGCCCTGCCCCAGCTGTGTACGTGACCTCCGGCCCGTCATGCTGTCTAAACCTCACTCCCCCCGCCCCCCCCCACAACCCCTGTGACAACCAGGAGTACCCTCGGAGGAACCCTCCATCCCTGGCCTCTGCTGGCCTGGCCCCGGGGGTAGAGGCAGACCCTGTCCTCCCTCGAGAGGCTCCCCAGGCTGGGGGAGGAGGTGGCGTGTGGACAGACGGGGGCCAGCCAGGCGTGGCCCGGACTGTGATTGGGACGTGCCGGGGAGTTGGGACGAGGGAAGCTTCTTGGGAGGTTGTAGAAGCAACACTCACTGTTCATTTCTGATTCTGGAAGCATTGGATGCTCACTGTAGAAAATTTGGAAGCTGCAGAAAGATGCTGAGAAGTCAAAAAAAGTGCAGGGCACACATTGATGCTGGTGAGGAGGTGCTGCAGGGCCACCAGACCTGGGACTGAAGCCACCACGTAGCAGCTGTGAGGAGGGCAAATTGGATCACCTCTCAGAGCCTCGGATTGCTCTTCCTTACAACGAGGTAACAAAAAGACCTTTGAGGCTTAAATGAGACGATGCACGCTGAGCACTGGGCCCCAGGCGCCAGCTCTGCTTCCCCTCCCGCCTGTGTTCTCGTGCCCACAGAATAGATCCCAAATCCCTATGTGAAGGTCCTGTCAGGCTGCTGACCTGCCCAGTTGCATCTTGTTTCTCTAAATCTGCTCCCACAGGGCCTTTGCATGTGCCGGCCCCTCTGTCCCGACGCCTGCCCTCCGAGGGCCCTGCCCTGCCCCTTTCCCACTGCAGTTGGGGCCTCTGCCGGGTCTCCAGCTGGCCTCTCCCAGGGCCTGCGGCACCAATTCATTTATTTGTTTTTGTTTTGTTTTGTTTTTAGTATTTATTTATTTGGCTGCGCCAGGTCTTAGTTGCTGCACGCGGAATCTTTTAGTGGCAGCATGAGGGATCTAATTCCCTGACCAAGGAGCGAACCCGGCCCCCTGCACTGGTAGCACAGAGTCTTAACCACTGGACCACCAAGGAAACCCCACCAGCTCATGTTTATAATTGTCTTGTTTTCAGTGTCATTATTGTTCCATGTCTAGACCGTGAGCTCTGCACAGGCTGGCTAGGTCTGCCGTGGTCACCTCTGTGGCCTAGGTCCAGCCAGGCCCTGCCTGGTCAGCAGCCAGGGTCCCTAGTCAGCCCCACCTCAACGAGCACCTGGGATAAGGAGCAAGGGCCAGCCGTCCCGCTCCAGGGCCCCTGGGTATGCAGCCGACCTCAGCCCCATTCAGCCGTCTGCCTCCTCATTTGACTGGGCAATGGTGGGGCTGGGATTCGGCCATGCACAAGCTAAGCCTGAGGCTGTCCCCAGGCACTCCAGGTGTGCACAGTGAGGACACAGACAGTGACAGTGGAGAAAGTCAGGGAACCCCTGCCCTGCTTGCCTCACCTGGGAAACGTATGATTGAGCTGGGGCCAGGGTCCCTCGACAGACCTCAGGACACCTGGATGCCATAGCTCACCCCAGACTCCTCCACTCTGGGCCTTGATTCAGCCCTAGAGAGGCTCTAGGGAGCCATGGACAAAGTCAGAGCAGGGCTGATCGGACCACGAGCCACTTGACCCCAGCCCGGAAAACCAGGTGAGAGAGGTGATGCTGGCACTGCAGGCAGAGCTCTGGGTCAGCCCTGCAACTTGCAGGCCTGAAGGGGCTCCAGGCAACCCTGGACTGAGGGTGGGCGCTGCCAGTGGTCAGAGTTGGGCCCAAAGCAGCCCCAGCCAGGCCCAGCTCCTCCAGGACGCACTCGGGAGGAAACGGCCCCCTGCCCCTCTCGGCCCGGAGCCAGGGCCTAGAACTGACTTCCCTCTGCCCCTCTGCAATCTGGGGCAGGGGTCTAGGTGGGGCCACCCCTGGGCCCGGCTGTGGGTGGGCACAGCTTGGGGCCCATTCCAGCCCAAGACATGGTGGACAAGTCCTTACTGAACACCTACTGTGGGCCACGTCCTCCCCCAGGCCGTGGGATGGGGGGAGGGGATGGACAGTGCCGGGAATGAGGGCCTCACTGCCAGGCGGAGGGAGGTCGTTCTGCAGGTGTTGCCCAGGAACGTGCCCAGTCTCTGCTCCTATCTCCCCATATTCCTCAGCTTGGGTGGCCCCCTGAGCCGGGCACCAGTGCTTTCCTCGTCTTATGGTTCCTAAGAATAATAAGCTCAGCGGCCAGGCCTGTGCTGTACACGCCCATGGAGGAGTGCTGTCCCCACTTCCCAGATGAGGAGCCTGAGGTTCAGACAGGAGGAGGGGGAGGTGCCGATGGGGCCCCCGGCCCGCAGGGTGCCCACGGGGGACGTTGAGACCCGTCTCACTCCATGGCCAACGCTCTGAGGCAGAGGTCCTGGGCTCAGGGCCTGTGGGATGCTGCTGGACTCTGAGGGCGACTCACGTCCACACACAGAGAAAGAGAGACAAACAGACAGACAGACAGAGACGCAGAGGCACAGGCAATGGTACGGTTTCGTGGCCTCAGCTGGGGTGCTCAGAGCACTTCCTTGCTCAAGGTCCAGGCAGTTCCCCCCCAGAGGCCCTGCTGGGCTCCTTCTTCCCACCCCCATACCCCATCCCTCTCCACTCTCAGCCCCACTGGGGCTCCCTTGGACGTCAGGCCAAAGCCCGGATGGGCTCCAAGGCCGCAGTCAGCCCTGCCGCAGGCCTTCCCATGGACGCCCCGCCAGGGTGAGCCCACGGGCCAGGCAGGGGCAATTCCAGGGCAGCTCGGCCCAGGCCCAGGGAGAGTCGTTGACTTTCTCGGGACCTCTGTCTCCTTGTGGGGACTCCACTGCACAGGCAGCTCGAGGACTCTGGGGGAGTGGGCTTTGGGGTGATCCTCGGTGGGGCCTCATTGTCCCAAACCCCGGCTCATGCCGCTGGACTCGGCCTTCATCCGAAAGGAGCCCTTGGGCCCGGGGCTCATCATCGCCCCCTGGAACTACCCCCGTATCTACCCCTGGTGCCCCTGGTGGGCGCCCTCGCGGCAGGTGATAGAGAGCCTCCTCCTTCCTGCCCCCTGCCAGTCCCCCCAGCCTCGTGGCCTCACAGCCACCCACAGAGACAGGAAAGAGGGGCACCAGGTGGCTAAGAAGGCCTGGTTCCCATCTGGCCCACCATCCTCAGGCTGTGTGACCTTGGGGCCGGTAGGGCAACTCTCTGTACCATATTCTTCCCCTGAAGGTGGAGTAAGGCCGGCACCTGCCCTGCAGGTGTGAGGACTGAATGGAGACGGGGAGTGGCTACAACTGGCCACCCCCTCTCCCCACCCCGCCCCACCCCACCCCCTCGCCCCGCCCCGCCCTGCCCCACCCCCCCTCGCCCCGCCCCGCCCCGCCCCTCAGGGAACTGCGCGCTGCTGGTGGCCAGTGGGGTGAAGCGTCCCAGGTGGCAATCAACCCAGGCAGGAGGGCCTGGCACGGTCGGATCCGGGGGCAGCAGGCAGGGGGCATAACCCAGTGGGTGAACCAGGACGGGCTGGGAAGGTGGTGCCTGAACCATCTGGCCAAGGGCAGTTGAGGCTTGGGGTCAACTCTCATGTCCCCAGGGGGCCCCCGAGTAGGCAAGGTCGTCATGGCTGCTGCCACCAAGCACCTGACACCCGTCACGCTGGAGCTGGGGGGCAAGAACCCCTGCTACGTGGACGACAACTGCGACCCCCAGACCGTGGCCAACCACGTGGCCTTCTTCCACTACTTCAACTCCGGCCAGACCTGCGTGGCCCCCGACTATATCCTGTGCAGCCCCGAAACGCAGGCTCGACTGCTGCCTGCCCTGCAGAGTGCCATCACCCGTTTCTATGGCGAAGACCCCCAGAGCTCCCCAGACCTGGGCCGCATCATCAGTGAGAAGAATTTCCAGCGGCTCCGGGGCCTGCTGAGCTGTGGCCACGTGGCCATCGGGGGCCAGAGTGATGAAAGCGATCGCTACATCGGTGAGTCCCGCCCTCCCTGCCACTGTGCCCCACTCCCAGCCCACCCCAGCTAAGGCCCCCCCACGCTGGGGGCCACGGCTGGGCCCCGAGTCTGGGCCCAGCCTGTAACCTCGGGCCCTGAGGCTCCCCGACCCCACTGCTAGAGCCCAGCCTGGTCCACGGCTCTGGTGCCACGATTCTGTGACACCAGTGTTCCGCGTTGCCGTGTCCGAGCCTGTGACCCCACGACTCAGCCCTCTGGCCCAGGCTCTGGATTCTCCAAGCTCAGACCCCGGAGTTCTAGGGCTCAGGTTCCAAACTTCAGCCCCAAGATCTGCTGCTCCACGGGGCCGTGACCCCAGGTCCTATGAGCCCACGATTCCTGGTTCTGAATTTCAACAGCCCGTCCTGAGCACCCGCTACGCTGTGAACAAAGCAGCCCCAGTCTCCCAGGCCGAACGGCTCAGAGGGTGACGCTGCTCCCCCGCAGGCTGGGACCCGGGACCTCAGGTCCGGTCACCCTCTGACTGTAAGACCAAGGCTGAGGGGCTCTCTGGGCCCCACGGGCCCCGGTCAGGCTGGGGAGCCCCTCAAGGTCACTTCCCGGGGGCTGTGGGGAGATCACCTTCCCCAGAACGTCCTTGAGCCTGGAGCCCTGAGTCCCTGGGCCCTGCCTGCCCGAGGCCCCACCCCTGGGGCTGAGCCGTGCCCTGTGCCCGGGCAGCTCCCACGGTGCTGGTGGGCGTGCAGGAGACGGAGCCGGTGATGCGGGAGGAGATCTTCGGGCCCATCCTGCCCATCATGACCGTGAGGAGCCTGGACGAGGCCATCGAGTTCATCCGCCGTCGGGAGAAGCCCCTGGCCCTGTACGCCTTCTCCAACAGCAGCCAGGTGGGGCTGGACAGAGGTGGGAGCAACAGAGGGGCCCAAAAGGGTGAGACCGGTCACCTCCCCTTTCCCGGCCCACTTGTGAGGGTTAGGGCAGCAGGTGCCTCCTGTGTGACTATAATCCAGGCCACTGGACAACGGCTCCCTGCACACAGGTGCCTGGCAGAGACAGGGGGCAGCATCAAGAAGCTGGCAACACGTGGCTGGCCAACTGTCTGCCCTGGCCGGGGCAGCTCCCGCCTGGACGACGAGGTGCCCTCTCTATCTGTCCTGCCCCGGGGCGGCCCTCTTGTCCTCAGTCGTGCAAAAGTTCTGTGTGGGCGAGCAGAGCCCCTGAAGGGGGAGGGGGCAGAGCCAAGGTGGGACCCGGCAGGCAGAGCCAGGCTGGCCGCCATGGAGCCTGTGCACTGCTGCTGCTGTGACTCTGGGTGCCGCTTCTCAGGGCCACGGACTCCCCTCTGTGAGCTCAGAGGGGCGACACTCACCGGATCAGCAGCGGCCCCTTTGGAGGCAAGGAGGGCTTCATCTACCCGACTCTGCCGTCCCTGCCACTAGGGGGAGTCGTTGAGCCCTGCCCTCCTTCACCCTCCAGCCCCAACTCCCAGGGAAGCTCAGGTTGGCACCCCAGACCCAGGAAGGCCCAGTTTTGCCTTCCCTCACTGTTGATCCAGGCCCCAGGCCTCTCAAGGCCTCAGTTTCCTTACCTGCAAAATGGCTCTTAGAATGGCCTGGCTTTCCCTGAGCTCCCTGCTGGGCGGTGGGCTGCTGCTGAACGGGCCCTCACTTCCGTGCCCATGCACACAACCGCGGAATGGGCAGCTACCACAGCAAGTTCTCCTTCGACGCCTTCTCCCACCACCGCGCCTGCCTGCTCTCCCCCTCGGGCCTGAAGAAGCTCAAGGACATCCGCTACTCGCCCTTTTCTGCCTGCACACAGCAGCTGCTCAGCTGGGCCTTGGGCAACCAGGGCTGCCTCCTTCTGTGAGCACCCTGTCCATCTCCAGTGCCCCATCCCCACGACCCCCCTGTCCTGCTGTTGCCCAGGTGCTCAGTGGCCCCCCAAAGGCTGGTGTCCTGTCCAGGAACACAAAGATCCTGCTCCTGGGGCTTTGTCTGAACAGACCCCTGGCTGGGCAGGACCTCTGGGACATTAGTCCAGCCCCTTTCAGGGCCAAAGTCCTCTCTGCAGCCTCCTGACAGATTTGTTGACCCTCTGCTTGAACATATCTGATGACAGAGAACTTACCCCCAAGGTTGGGCAGCTCTGGTGGTTAGAAAAGACTCCCTCACGTCAGATCTAAAAATAAGCTCCCAAAATACAGAGTGATTTCTAACAGCTCCAGTCACACCTGGTTTGGGGAGCTGGGTTTGTCTCACCTGAAGTGATCTGATCTTGAACTCAGGTCTGGCCAGTCGCTGGTGTTGGCCTGAAGTGCGTTATTTACAAGGACTCTGATGGTGTGTGTGGAATCTATAGGAAGGAGTGCAATGGTTGATTAGTGATGTCTGCTATGGGCACAGGACGGGGTTGTGCTCATGCTGGCCACATCGCCATTCCTGCTCTAATCTCCCAGAGAGAGGTCAGGGCGGGCAGAATCTAAATCTGGTCTCTTCATCTGACACATGGGAAAACAGATTTAGAGCCAGGATAGGGCTGAACTGAGTTTATACGGTAAAGCAGGGCAGAGCTGAGTGACAGTGGGATTTATGGTCTCGTGGCCCTCATCTGGCTCACACAGAACCCTACCCGTCCCTGCAGTAGCTCCGTCACCTAGAAAGCTTGGGTTTGCGTCAGTCCATGGCCACATTGTTACTGGGTGCCTTTGGGCAGGTCCCTTAACTTCTCTGAGCCTTATCTTGTAGAATGGGGTTCCCACCTACCTCTTACAGTTGGTGTGAGTGTTAGATGGAATCATATGTGTCTGGGACCCAGGGGCCCCCACCCCAGACACAGTAGGGTCCACACCCTCATGTAAGTTAAGCCAGCATTGGGCAGAGGCCCCGGCTGCAGAGGTGCCCCTGGCCACACACCTCCTAGAGCTTCCCAGGGCTCTGTCACAGTCACAGTTTTTGTGACAGCAGCCTCTGCTTGTCCAGCAATCATGGCATGCTGCTGTCCCCAGGCTTGGGGGTGGTCCCAGGGTCCCTTAGATGCTGGTTCCACCCTGGGAACAGGCCACAGTCCAGAGTGGGTCATTAAGAAAAACAACAATATGGGGTGATTCCTCTTCCCACCCCCACCCCAGGACACTAGGCCAGCAAGAAGGAGTGGGCAGAGTGGTCCTGGGGTCATAAAGGAACACCTGATATGAGGGTACTGTGAAAGGCTGACAGGAGGGGGTGAGCAGAGGCCAAAGTGGGACTCAGAACCCGGTCAGGATGGTAGAGGGACAGGCAGGGGCTCCAAAGCCCCTGGACAGGAACTTCCCTGGCAGTCCAGTGGTTAAGACTCCATGCTTCCACTGCAAGGGGTGCGGGTTTGATCCCTGGTTGGGGAACTAAGATTCCGCATGTTGCGGTGTGGCCAAAACCAACAGTAGCGGCAACAACAAAAAACAAAGTGGCCCGTGGGTGTGGCTCCCGGGTCACGTGGCTCTCCTGAGCCAAGACTTACGATTTTGTGGGATGGTTCAGGTTCTGACCCCGCTCTGGGCCTCCGTTTCCTCAACTGCAGTGAAGAAGTCGGACCTTTGGATACTCACGATGCCTCTGCCCTCCAGCAGGCCAGGGTCTGCTGCGCATGTGTCCGTTCTCCAAGCTTGCACCTGCCCCTTTGCTCCCTTACTCCTCACAGCTGCCCGGACCCAGGAGGGAGCCTCATTCCCATTTCACAGGCAGGAGCCAAGGCCCAGAGAGGGCACTGACTCCCCAAGTCACACAGCTTGTCAGGGAGGGGTGTCAGAGCCAGTGGGGGCTGGGGGCCCCCTCTACTTCCTGGGACTCAGAGGTGTGACTCAGCAGGCCCACCTCCAGACTGTTCTCACTGCTGTGGCTCGCACACACGTTGGTACACGCAGCACAGACGTGAATACACAGATCCTCAGACACCAGCGCACACACACATGAGCTTGCACACTCAGTTGGGATTGGGGGCTGCTGTTCCTGGGAGCTCTTGCCCTGGCTCCCAGATGCCCTTGCATTCTATAAACACTTTCTGAGGGTGTGGAGAAAAGGGGAGCCTCCTATACTTTTTGTGGGAATATAAGTCAGTGCAGCCACTTTGGAGAACAGTATGGAGATTCCTTAAAGAAACTAAAAATAGAGCGACCATATGATGTAGCAATCCCGCTCCTGGGCATATATCTGGAGAAATCTTTAATTCAAACAAATGTATGCACCCCAATGTTTGTAGTGGTATTATTTACAATAGCCAAGACATGGAAACAACCTAAATGTCCAACGACAGATGAATGGATAAGGAATGTACAATGTAATGTACAAATGTACAATGGAATATTACTCAGCCATAAAAAGAATGAAATAATGCCATTTGCAGCAACATGGATGGACCTAGAGATTATCACATGAGGTGAAGTAAGTCAGAGAAAGACAAATATTATATGATATCACTTATATGTGGAATCTAAAAATTAGTACAAATGAACTTATTTACAAAACAGAAGCAGATTCACAGACATAGAAAACAAATATATGGGGACTTCCCTGGTGGTCCAGTGTTTAAGACTCTGTGCTCCCAACGCAGAGGGCCCAGGTTCGATCCCTGGTTGGGGAACTAAATCCTGCATGTATGCCGCAACTAAGAGTTCGCATGCCGCAACTAAGACCCGGCACAGCATAAATAAGTAAATAAATTTAAAACAAAAACTAAAAAAACACACAAATTTATGGTCACCAAAGAGGAAGTGGGGGAGGGATAAATTAGGAGTATGGGATTAACATATACATACTACCATATATAAAATAAAAACAAGGTCCTATTGTATAGCACAGGGAACTATATTCAATACCTTGTAATAACCTATAATGAAGAATTAATTTAAAAAATTAAAATAATTTTTAAAAGAATATATATATATAAAACAATATTGTAAATCAACTATACTTCAATTTAAAAAATAAATTAATTAAAAAATATATATATATACCTTCTAAGAGGGTGACGCTAGACCCCAGCCCAGGGAAGTGAAACTTTCCAGGACCCCCTAAGGCTGTCCTCCCCAGAGCTGGGGGCCCACCACCTCCTGGCAGGAAGCATTCTGGTCTCCAGCAACCCCCCAGATAGCCAGGGCTGGTGCTCAGACCCTTCCTTCCTTCCCAAGAGGCCCAGCACCCAGAGGATCAGCAGAAGCCCGGCAGCCTGGGGGGGCCTCTCAAAGACTGCGGCTTCTGCCTTAGAAAGCAGGGCCTCGAGGCCCCTACCCTGAGCGAAGCGGGGAGCAGGGACCCGGAGGGAGGCACACACCCCACTGACTCCCTCCACCACCCCTGGCCAGGGGGTCGGCCGAGTCGCTCAACCTCCCAGAGCCCAGGTCCAGCCCCACGAACAGAGCGAATGGTAGCTGTCCTCCGTTTGCGGCGCCAGGGCCGTTGCCCATGAAGATTCAGTGACCACCCCCCCCCCCCGCCCCCGGGCTACCCTACTGAGGTACCAGCAGGCCTGACAGGTCCCACAGCTCCACCTATGGGGGTGAGCAGGAGAGCAGGAAAGTGCAGGTGAGCCCAGCCCTCAGGAGGAGTTGCCTGTGATCTGAGCAGCTGCAAAGAGGGCTGGCCTGGAGGGAGCCCCAGCTGCTGGGCCTGGTTCTGGAGCTGGGCTGACACCTCCTGGGAGGACTCAGCCTGGTCGTGAAGAAGGCCTGGGACCAGACGCCTGGGGGCGGCCCAGCTTCAGGGCCCCAGTGCTGGCACACAGGAGGCACTGGTGACCTGTCGGTCACTGCCCAGCAGTGCCTTTCTACTCAGGGACCACTGGACCACCCTCGGCTCCTGGGGAAAGGACAGGACTTGGGGCCACGTGCGGGGGACTTAGCCTTCATCCTTACCCCCTTGTCCCTTGAGAGCAGCAAGAGGAGAGTGGGCTCAGATTGGACACCTCCCAGGTTCCAATTCCAGTTCTGCCTCTAGTGCCCTGGGTACTCTTGGGCATCCTGTCTGAGCCTCAGTTTCCACATCTATAAAATGGATCTGAGGGTCATTTCCAAAACAAAGCAAGTTGAATCATTTGAGTCATACCTGTCCCTGAAAACGATCAAAAACAATGAAATATTTAGAAATTGTTTAAAGCACCAAAGAGCTGTAAAGCTGGGACCCCACAGCTCACAGCCCTTTAGGGTAAAGTGTGACCCAGGAGTGACCCTGGTCCTCTGAGGGCCGCAGGGACAGAAGCATGTTGCTGAAGGGATGGAGGGAGGGGGATATTCCTCATCTGGGTGGCCACCAAGGCACCATCTCAACAGGCAACTTGTGGTGGCCTGGTCTGGTGGTGGCCCATGGCTCAGCCAGTGGTGGATTCCAGGCCTGCCCTTCCTTGGCTGGACACCTGGGCAATGAACGGTCTGCACTTGGCAGCCCTCCAGGGCTCTCTCTGGGGGAGTAGTCTTCATCTCAGGCTTTAAAGAGTCCCTACAAGCAATTTCCCAAAGCCTTGTGCAGCTCCCCAGCGGGAGCCCCAGCTGGCCCCAGGAGGCGGGAATACTGAGATTCCCAGAGGAGGGACCAAGGGCAAGAGCAGGGGCGTGGTTGCAGGACCTGGACTCAGTGGACCACGGCAACAGCAAGCAACAGTGTGAGGTAGAGGCAGGCAGGGAGACCCCAGCACTACTGACCTCAGGGTGGACCTCAGCCCATCACCCACTCCTGCCCCCTGCTCTCTACCAACTCAGCACAGACACTTCCTGCCCAGGGATCTCCTGGCCCATAAATACCCATCGTTCCAGGAGGTGCACATCCCAGCCCTGGTGGCCCAGGCAGCTGAGACCTGCACTGACAGGTAACCACCCCTTCTTCCCTAAGGCCCCTGCACCAGCTCAGAGGAGCATGCGGGAGGGGCAGGAAGGAACAGGAGTCGCCTGGAACCCGACACTCCACAGCCAGCTCCTGTGACACCGTCCACTTCCCCTGCTGTGCCCGGTTTCCCCATCTATAAAATGGGAGCACAGCCCTCTTGCTATAGGGAGTGTGCCTTGGTGAATCCATCTTCCCAAGTCTGGGCCCCTTTTCTCAACTTGGGAGAAAGAAACCCCTTCTCTCCAAAGGGAGCAGAGAAATGATCTCCTCAGAGAAAGGCAGGGGAGGGCAATGCTTACCCTCAAGGGAAGGGTGCCAGTGGAGGGACTGCAGGCACCAGGAGGGACCAACCTGGGCTACTGGAGGTGCAGGTGGGACACCGCTGAGCTAACATCCAGCCACGGCTTTGGACAAGCAACCGCCCCGCCTGGCTTGTGCTCCTCAGGCCTCAGGGAGCTCACCACCACTAGCCCAGCTCTGAGCACTGGGCGTTGTGCTGGCGCCAGGGTTGCCTAAGCAGGTCCACCCGCCAGGTGCGCCACCCCACACGGCGACGTGCTGGCTGCTGGTGCCCTGAGAGGCCCTGCACCACGTGGCAGTGACCAGGGCCACTCACGGCAATGAGACAGCTAGTGCCTACCTGGCCCGGCACTGGCTGCGGGTCCCCGGGGAGGGGCAGAGACTCAGCTTCTCCACCATGCCTGTGCTGCTGGCCAACCTGGTGGCCTCAGCCGCCTGCTGCCGCTACGTGGGCCATGACCTCAGTCATGCCTTCACCGCGTCCTTCCTCAGGTGAGCACCCTGCCCTGCTGCTACAGCTCCCGCTGGGGAGCTGCACAAGGCTTTGGGAAATTGCTTGTAGGGACTCTTTAAAGCCTGAGATGAAGACTACTCCCCCAGAGAGAGCCCTGGAGGGCTGCCAAGTGCAGGGCTGCCAAGGGCCCCCACCTGCTAAGCTGGTCCAGTCCCTCCACCCGGCAGGAGGCACCCTTCTGCCTGTGATGCCCATTCCTCCCTTTTCAGTTTAGAGAAATTCAAATTGATGTCACCTTCTCCAGGAAGCCCTTCCGGATCCCAGGCTGAGACGGGGCCTCTTCTGGGTTCCCCAGACCCGGGGCTTGCCTCAGATCAGCCCCCCACAGGCTGCGTTTACGCAACCACTGTTTATACCTTCCTTCAGTGGATACTGGCCGAGCCCCACCTCTGAGCCCCATCTCAGGCCAGCTCGGGTGAGAGAATGGGGTATAGGACTGAGGCGCTGTCCTCAGCTTACTAAGGACAGAGAAAGGACTCAGTGACCACAAACCAGGAGGCTAAAGGCAGGGCTGGGGGCTACACGAAGCATCTAACTTGGTCAAGGGCAGTCAGGGAAGGCTTCCGGAAGGAGGCGGGGTCTCAGCCAAGCCCCAAAGGGTGAGTGTAAGTTAACCAGGTGGAGAGGAGAGGAGTTCCAGGGAAGGGCCCAGCAGGTAGGAGGCCTGAAGGCGAGACCAGCACAGTGCTTGGAGGTGTGGCCGGCGTGAGAGCTGATGAGGCGGGTGGGCAGGGCCAGGCCGAGCGTTTGGGGCCGTGCGAGGGGGCAGGCAGCCACATGAGCCCCTGAGCTGCTCTGTCCCTCCTGCAGGGTCTCAGGGGCTTCACTCCTGTCGGTGGCACAAGGCTGCCCTCCCCCGCACCACTCACACACTCTGATCACTGACGGAGACTGTCAGGGGCTGACACTATATCTTCGCCCCTGAAATGCCAGGGCCAGAGACCTGAACCAGCTGCTGGGGCCCAAGGCCTCGGGCCGGGCCTCTACTTATCCCAGACCTTCACAACACCACGGCCTCCCCTGGAAGGCACCTACGTTTATGCCACGCACCTGCGCCACCACCCATCTTCCTTGTGGATGCTGAATAAGAGACATTTTGAGTGATTTCTCCCACAATTTAAAAATTTATCTAATAAACTTTTATATTATATTCACTATGTGTCAGGCACTGTTTTAAGCACTATTAGCTGTTTAATTTAGACTTCAGGATAATAGGAGGAGATAGAATAATCCCTATTTTACAGATGGGGAAGCTGAGGAACAGAGAGGTTAAGTGACTTGCTCAAGGTCACACAGCTAGCAAGGCTTTGGACGCAGGCTTCACTATCTGTGCCCGTAACCACTAGGGTACACTTCCACAATGACAAGTGCCTTTTTAAGGTGACTGGTGTCTCCATTTCTAGACACAGAGCCAGTTGGCATCTCAGCAGACACCCTGTTGCATTGATCGAGGAAGTGAAGGAGCAAGTGGGCAGGGCCATAAGTGAGCAGCATCTCTTAGGCAGTCCCTGCTGGGGTGGCCCGCACTGAGGCCAGGGCAGAGGTCAGCCCCAGCAACCTTGGTCCTTGGCTCTTCTCCCAGGACTGAGATTTTGAGCCACTGCGGCCTGGCGCACCCATCTTCCAGATGTTCAGCGGTGAGGACGTGCTCTATGAGGGGGAGTCCACCATGGACCCTGTGTTCATCAACGAGCTTGCCTACTACGAGGAGGGCATTGCCTTCCTCCAGACTGAGAAGCTCACGTTCTCCGTGCCTGCCCTGCCCGCAGTGGCCTCCACCCCGCCAGGGTCCCTGATCCAGGCCACATCTGCCCGGCATCAGCCCTCCCTTCTGAACAGGGGGTCGTGAGGCACAATCTTGAGCCCAGGGCCCTCCCTTTGCCACCCACTGTGTACCATGTTTCTTGCCATATCCCCACACCTCCCTGCCTCAGTTTCCCATTCTATAAAATGGAAGATGTCCAGGGGTCCATGGTTCATGTCCTCTCACCTGCACGGCCCCTCTCTGTGACCTCAGGGTCTGGGGCAGGTCTGGCTCAGGGTGGTCTTGGACATTCTGTGTGTACTGGGGCCGGGGGTGGCTGTCTCTGTGCCCACGCTTTTTCATCAGTGCCCAGGGGGAAGATCCCATAGTGTGTGTGTATGTTGGGGGGGACTTGGAGAAGTACTGTCCTGGGGCCAGCAGAGGGGCTTCCAGAGGCCATGACCCAGAGGAGGGCTCCAACCCCTCTGCATTCCCAGGGCCAGAAAGTCGATCTCTGTGTGCCCGTGTGTGTGGGTGTCCAGGCGTGTGCCTGCCCCAGGTGCTCCGTGGTTGTGTGTGTGTGTGTGGGGGGGCATCTGCACACACATGTGTTTCTGAGAGCCTCAGTACCTTGGGCATTCTTCCGGGGGATCCATATGTGGCTGGTGGCACAGCCCAGATGTGCATTTCCAGGTGTGTAATGAGCTCAGGGCTCATGGGGGCTCAGGGGGCGTCAAGGCTGGGGAAGAGGTGCAGCTCGACAAGGCTCTCCCCACCCAGGACAGCCGTCCAGGCACAGGGATGCAGGGAAGAGGTGCAGGTAGGGCAGGTAGGGCAGGCAGAAGTCTCCTGCACCACCCAGGACAGAAGTCAGCGTCGGGGAGGGAGTGGGCACAGGGTCTGCGGCTGGGGTCCCCTCAGTCCTGCCCCAGGCACTCTCTGCAGGGTGTCCACAGCAGGGCTGAACTGGATGGGGTGGGATGATGCCTGGACACAGCCTCACACTTTCCATGCTCCACCCCCGGGGCCCACACCCCACCCCGCCCCGTGTTGAGAGCATCGCTCCTGCCTGACAGTGGGGCTGGTGGAGCCCAGAGCTCCGTCCTCTCCAGGCATCACTCTCTGGGCCCTCTACACCCCCGCCGCCTGGCTCAGCCATCTCCCCGCGGGCACAGCTGCCACGCTGACTTCTGCTATTGAGCAGCGAGATGAGAAGGTGGGAAGGATATGCGGGGCACCAGGGACAGGCTGGCAGGCAAGAGGGATGAGGCGGCAGGGGGCCAGCAGGCGCCCCTGGCAGGAAGGGCAGACTGGCCGGGGAGGAGGCTGTAAAGGGAAGCGTGCCTGTGTGCATGGTGTGTATGTGTTTGTGTGTGTGTGTGTAAGAGGAGCGTGTGCACATGTGCACAGGAGTGGTGGCAGGTCATCAGATCTTGAGTTCGTTTATGCATTTGGGCTGACATGTGAGTGTGCCCATGTACGCATGAGCATGTGTGTGTATGGGGCGGGGGTGTCCCAGCACACGGACCAAAGGCATGTGCAAGCACACACACACCAGGAGCCAGCAGAACCCCGGACCCCTGGGAGTCCGGGTTGAGGGGGAGCCACTAGGACTGGTGCAGATCCCCCAAACCCCTCCATCACCTGCCTATTTCTCACCTGCCCCACTGTGCATCTTGGGACAGGGTGGCACCTGGGGGCTGCTGGGACCCTCCAACACAGGCGCAGAGAACTCTCCCCCATCTTGCCCAGCAGCAGACTCCAGTGCAGGTGCAGCCTTCCTCCCAAAGCTGGCCGTGGGTCTATGCCAGGGGTCGGCCCATGCTCTCCCCGAGGGAATCCTCCCAGCCTGGCAGGCAGGGACCGGGGGCACAGGGGGTGGAAGCAGCAGGCCTCCCTGAGCTGAAGGGAGGAGAGGTCTGCCCCTGACATGTGACATGTGGCTCTGGGAGGGGCCAGGGTGTCACACTCGAGAGGAGCAGCCCCTCTCTGCCCCCTGTTAGGTATGGCCTCTGCCAACCCCTTGTTCCCAGTGCCAGACTCTGGAGGAGGTGTGGGGGTCCAGCCGCCTTTGGGGACCCCAGTCGAGCATGCCCAGCTCGGTGGGCTCTCACCTAGTGCTCCGGCCTGGGGGCTAGCCTGCGATGCTCCCTCCTGTAGTGGGCTAACCGGGATCTAGCCTGATGACCCTCCTTGCACCACATGGCAGACACCAGCTTCGGGGAACCCCCCTCCTCTGCCTTCCTGACTGGAGATCTGTGTGTTCCCTGAATGCCCAGCCCCAGACAGGCAGGGGCCGCCTGGGGAAGGTGTCTGGTCAGGACACGCCCCAGAGGCCTCTGACCTGGGCCAGCATCCCCCCCTGTGGGGACTGTGTAGGCACCGTCAACCAGGATGGGGACAGCTTACTGCCCCCCAGGCTGGGCCAGCCCATCCCAGGCAGAGGCGATTATGCACTTAGTTCAGTTGAGGAAACTGAGGCACGGAGATGTCATGGTCCTGGCAGCGTTGCATAACTCATAGCTCGGGCCGAGCGGTCAGGAGGACCTGGCTTCCTGCCATCCAGTCCTGGGGCTCTGCCTCTGCTGGTACTTGCGGCTGCTGCCCCCTTGCCTTTCCTGCTCAAGCTCCCTGGTGATTCCACACCAGCAGCCCCAGGTCAGGTGTCTGGGTCCTGGGGAGAGAGCTTCGCCTCTGCCATTCACCCCTCCATGCTCCTGGCACCACCGCAGCCCCCTGACCTCCCCGAGGCCCTGTCAGCCCCGGCCCCTCCAGTCAACCAGGCGTGGGCCCCTGCAGATCACCCAGCCTGTCCTCGAGATGGGCCCTTACCCTGTGTCTGGGCCCATTGATCAGGAATGGCTGGGGGGCTCCTAGCTGGGGAAGGGAGGAAGCCGGGAGGGGGGACCGGGAGAGGGAGAGGAGGCTTTGCCACGTCAGAGCCTTCCCACCTGCCCTCCTCCCCCACGGCATCGCACCTGAAGCTGCACCAGCCCAGCCGGGGGCCTTGCACAGTCCAGTACGAGGGTGGCTTGGAGAAGGGGCTGTGCACACCCCAGAGCCAGGGTCCTGCCTACAGAGACCAGGTGCCTGGCTTGGGTGGAGAACCAAGACCTGGGCGATTGAGGAGGGAAGGCCAGTCCTGCCAGGAGACTGGGGACTGAGTGAGGGCCCGAGAGCTGAGCCGTGCTGCCAAATGGACCAGGAGACCGGGAGGCACTGACCGGAGGCGGGACACGCAGGGACCCCAGCTGAGCCGCCCTTCTCCAGGAGCCGGAAATCCGGGCTGTCCCCATGGCAGGTATGGGGCAGGCGGCCAAGGGAGCCCCATGGGTGGGCTCAGGCTCCGGGGTGAGTGGGGTGGGGCCAGGGACTGGGCGTGGGGACCAAGGAAATGCCACTGGACCCAGGGCCTGGGCAAGAGCATGGGGCAGGGCCACCCCAGGCTGAGGCCTCAGATCCCCCAGGGCGGGGTCGATGGGCTCACAGCCACCCAAGTGCAAATATAGGGGTGCTGACAGGCAGGGAGACACAGCCATTTCTGGGAGGTGAAAGCCTTATCAGACGTTGGTGAGTGTGGGCCTGGCTCCGCCCCTCTCTGGGCCTCACCCCGTGAGTATCAAGGTTTGGTGGGGGCTGGACAAGGAACCTCTAACTTCCCCTCCAAACCTGACTTCATGCCGGTGGGAAACTGTCAACTCCTGACCCCAAGAGCTGCTGGCTTTTAGAGGAGCTGGGCAGAGGACAGGGCCCTGCCCAGGGTTATTGAGGGTGCTCAGGGGTGGCACATTGACTGGGATGGGCAGGGTGTAGGCTTGTAGAAGACTTGGAAGCCAGTAACCAGCCTGTGAAGGCCCCAGGACCAGCAAAGCCATGAGCCTCCCCGACTTGGGACGCATCACCATGGACCCTGGGGGCTGGCATCGGATACCGGGATGATGTACGTGCTCCAGCAGGACAGCTGGGTGATGGGCAGTTGCCCGTGTAATGGCCTGGTCTAGATGGTGGGGGCATTAGCCCATCCACCTTTCATGCCCCTCATGCCCCAGTGAGACCCACCCACCTCCAGACTACAGAACTCCCAGGGGCTTTAGTGGGGTGCCACTTTCACACGTGGCCCTCAGGGCTGCTAAGGATGGGGCCGTGGGCCCGGAGCCCCACACTCTTACCAGGCACCTACTGTGCACTGACTCTGGCCAGCACATCACACGCTATACCATCCCGGGAACCTCCGTCTACCCATCTATCTATCCGTCTCTGCATCCATCCATCCAACACCAAGATTCTACCTCTGCCCAGAGGATCTCGTGGTTTTACCAGGTCCTCAGCCCCTTACGGGGCTGCTAGAAACTGTTTCTCAGGATATTTTTCCTAGCTTTAAAAATTGTAATTGTGTTAAAATATACAAAACATAAAAATTATCATTTTAACCATCTTTAAGTGTTCAGTGGCATTAAGTACATTCATACTGTTGTGCAACCGTCACCGCCATCCATCTCCAGAACTTTTTGCATCTTGCAAAACTGAAACTCTGTCCCCATTAAACATTAACTCCCCTTCCCCTCCCCCTGTCCCTAGCAACCACCTTCCTACTTTCTGTCTATGAATTTGACTCCTTTAGGCACCTCTCGTGAGTGGAATCACACAGTATTTTTGAGACTGACTTGTTTCACTTAGCATAACATCCTCAAGGCTCATCCACGTTGTAGCCTGTGGCATGATTTCCTTCCTTTTAAAGGCTGAATAATATTCCATTGTCTGTATAGACACATTCTGCTTATCCACTCATCCATCGATGGACACCAGGGTTTCTTCCACATTTTAGCTATTGTGAACAATGCTGCTACGAACACCGATGTACACATATCTGCTCGGGTCCCTGCTCTGGATTCTTTTGGGTTTATACCTAGGAGTGAAACTGCCGGATCATATGGTAATTCTATCTGTAATATTTTGAAGGACTGTCAGCAGTTTTCCACAGGGTTTACACCATTTGAGATTCCACCAGCAATGCACAAGAGTTCCAATTTCTCCACATCCCCGCCAACACTTGTAATGTTTGTTTTTGTGATTGTTTTGGATTTTGGTAATCGCCATCCCTGTGGGTGTAAAGCAGTATCTCGTTGTATCGATAGTTAGGTTTTTTTTTTTTTAATCAGAAGGGTGGAGCTGTGGCAAAGTTTTTGGCCAAGACTTGTGCCAGGGCTGCAGATCAAAAGGTGGGCTCCTTAGAAAAACGTGAGGAGGCCAGAGCAGAAGATGTTAGAACCAGCTTCTGGAGGCAGGATTTGGGCCAGTTTGGGGGGTCAGAGATGGGTAAGAGTTGTTCGTGGTAATTCAGGGATCTCCTTCAGCTCAGTATTCCTTAAGCAGCACGAGGCAGCCAGGTCTCCCCAGAGCTGAGAAAGACCCCCCACCCCCATGACCCCACGTGTCACATCATCCATAACAGATGTCCTTTATGAAGGGCCTACTGTGTGCCAGGCTCGTGTGTGTCCTCACAAATCCTCACATCAGCCCTATAAGGCAGATATTAAGAACCGTTTGTGACAGATGTGGAAACTGAGGCTCCGGGAGGTGGAACAATTTGCTCAAGGCCACTAGGCCTCTTGATGGCTCAAAGATTCCCTGGGGAGCCTGAAAGGTCCTGTCTCTGGTCTCCAGGAGCTTTAAGTGAGCATTTACCTCATGAAGTGATGCCGAGTTGGGGATCCTGTGGGAAAACAGGCCTGGCAGTCAGGGGGAGCTTCCTGGAAGAAGAGGCATCTAGGTGCAGCCTGAAAGATGAAGGCTGGCTGGGTGGAGTGGGGGTGGGTGAGGTGAACAGGGGCCCACACTCCGTCCTCCCTCTCCAACCTTCCTCTCTGCCAGCCTCGGGGTATTTGCCCCCTTGGAGACCTACCCTTTGCCCATGACGAGCTCCAGCTGGAAGTCCCAGCTGGACTCCCTGTTACCATCAGGCCCTTCCACCAGCTCCACAGGGGCCCAAGCCATGGCTGAGCCCACAGAGCAGGGCCCCAAGAACCCACGTGTGTCTGATGTGACGGTTCAGCTGGAGATGAAGGCTCTGTGGGAGGAATTCAACCAGCTGGGCACAGAGATGATTGTCACCAAGGTGGGCAGGTATTAGCAGTGGCAGGGGGGGGGCAGGGCGGTGGCGGGAGTGGGGGGCAGGTCGGAACCACAGTCGAGCTGCTGAGCAGCCCCTCCTGCAGGAGGATGTTCCCCACCTTCCAGGTGAAGATCCTGGGCATGGACACGCTGGCTGACTTCGCCCTGCTCATGGACTTCATGCCTTTGGATGACAAGAGATACAGGTCCGGGCCTGGCTGGGGGTCACAACTCAGACCTCAGGCACTTGGTCGAGGAAGTAGTCCCCCACCAGCACCCTGAGGGAGGCAGGGGCCAGTCGGAGCAGTGTTGGGGGGGGCCCATCCTGGGCAGCAGTGGGCGCACCTGGGCAGGTAGGGTGGGCTAGCCCAGGGCAGCAGATGCAGCAGGTGAACCCAGGCCAGACGGCACTCTGGAGCCTCCGGTTCTTCATGTGCCGACGGGGCCAGTGCATGGGCAGTAGGAGAGATGCCCCGTCAGTCTTGGCTCCGGGTGGGGGCAGCAGATGAGGTGCCGTGGACTGCAGTCGGGGCGCCCTCGCCACCTCGCTCTGTCCCCAGGCATGCCTTCCATAGCTCGGCCTGGCTGGTGGCGGGCAAGGCGGACCCAACCACGCCTGGCCGCGTGCACTTCCACCCCGACTCGCCGGCCAAGGGCGCACAGTGCATGCGCCAGATTGTGTCCTTCGACAAGCTCATGCTGACCAACAACCTGCTGGACGACAATGGCCACGTGAGGCCTGGGCCACAGTGGGGAGGGGTTGGGCCAGGGCAGGGGACGCTGAGGCCTGATTGTGATGAAGCCCGAGCCAGGGCTGGCTGGGCATTTGGTGCCCGAGTTCACCTGGCCGCGGGTCGGACAGCAGAGACTGCCAGGCGGGTGGGCCAGGCCCACATAGGTGCAGGAACCCGGCACCACTGACACTGTGTCAAACAGACAAAGATCCCGGCCCTCACAGGGGCTCACCTCCTGGGGTGCCAGGCAGATGGTAAGCAAAGAATCCAGACGGCAGAAGGGTGATAAATGCCAGGAGAGAAAGGAATCCAGACGGCAGAAGGGTGATAAATGCCGGGAGAGAAAGGAAACAGGGAGCGGGGCTGAGACGGAGGCGGCCGTTGAGTTCAGGGGGCTCAGGAAGCAGCTGAGGCGCTATTTGAAGAGGGGTCTGATGGAAGTGGAGGAGGGAGCCTGTGCGTACAGAAGGAGGAGCCGTTGCAGGCAGACGGAACAGCAAGTGCAAAGGCCCTGAGGCTGGAGAATGCTGGGGAGTTGAGGAAGCTGTGAGGAGACTCCCGTTTGGCTGGGGTGGAGCTCAGAGGGGCAGTGGGAGGGGAAGGGATCCTAGGGGCATCCAGCACTGCTCTGCAGGGCCAGTTGGCTGTGGAGAGGATTCTGGTCTTTACTTTGTGTAGCTCACGAGGGCTCTGAGCTGACTCACTGGGGCTGCTGTGTGAAGGGAGTGCAGCCAGGAAGCAGCTGCGGAAATCCAGGAGAAAGATGACGGTGGCCTGGCGGGGTGGAGCCAGTGGGGTGGGAAAGGTGGTCAGATCCCGGATAGTTCCGAGACAGCTGGGGCGTGGGAGTGAGAGACACCAAGCAGCCTGGAACCTCCAACAAAGGGGCCTTTGATACAGAACTGCAGACTCTCAAGTTCAGACCTGGCACCGCCGCTATCAGATGGGGGCAGCGGGCCCTGGAAGAAGGGCTTCGGCCCCAGAGAGGGTTTGCTGCTGTCCCACCCCTTCCGCACCCCCTGCAGATCATTCTCAGCCCTGTGCACCGCTACCAGCTGCGCTTCCACGTGGTCTTCGTGGACCCACGCAAAGACAGCGAGCGCTACACGCAGGAGAACTTCAAGTCCTTCATCTTCACGGAGACCCAGTTCACGGCCGTGACGGCATATCAGAACCACCGGGTGGGTCAGGCCACAGCTCGTGAGGCAGCTGCCAGCCCACCTCACAGGAGGGAAACTGAGGCGCCAGGCTCTTAGGCCCCACAGGCACACAGACCCCTGCCCTTCTCTCCTTCCCGGACTCAGTGGGCATCTACCCACAGTCCTTCCCCTGCCTTCATGCCCACTGGCTCTGTGGCTCCTGGGCTGAGGGGCCCAGGTCCCGGGGCCTCCAGATTGGGGACGGGGTGGTCCAGGGAGGAGAGGGTGGCTGAGCCTGGGGCCCACAGCCTTTCCCCAGCTCAGGGCTGGCCCATAACTACCCTTTCTCCTCTGCAGAGCACCCAGCTGAAACTCACCAGCAACCCTTTTGCCAAGGGCTTTAGGGAGAGTGACCCAGACTCCTGGTACCGTCTGGCCCCTGACAGCTCCGCCCAGCTGCCCTAACCCACCCCCTCACCCCATCCCTATCCCCAGGCATCTCCTAAGGCCTCCGACCCTTCCTTCAGGGTCACACCCACTGGCTTGTCCCGGGGTCCCACTGTCTGACTCTGACCATGACCCTTGGCCTGGGTTCTCCATCTTGACCCCCTGCCTCATTCCTGCTTGCCCCACCTTCAGGCCTGTATCTCCACGGCCCCTACTCAGCGTCCGGACCCGGAGTCGCAGCAGCCTCCGCCCCTGCCTGCCGAAGGGCTCCACAGAGCAGGAGAAAGGTCAGGCCCCAAGCCCACAGACACAGTGGGACCAGAGCCTGCGTAGTGGACGGGGCCACGGGGCCCCCAGGAAGGGGCTTCCGCATGCTCAGCAAGCTCCCTGGGTATCTGTGTGGACAGAGAGGGGGAGGCAGAGAGAACGGTGCCGGGACGAGGTGCTGAGAGTAGGGGCAGGGGCGTCGGGGGGACTTCCTGGAGGAGGTGGTTCCCGAGCTGGGCCTTGGAGGACTGGGAAAGGTTTGGACAGAGGGAGAAGGTGGGGGAGAAATTCCAGGCAGAGGGAAGAGCAAGCACAAAGGCTAAGTGGCGGGCAACTTGGGGTGGGAGGGGCAGGGAAGGGGACGGGAAGGCTGAAGGTGTGAGGGGAGGTCTGGGGCCCACTCACACCATTTCCTCCCGCCCCGAAGACCCCCTAAACGCCGACCCCGAACATCCTGGAGCACTTCCTCTGAGGTCCCGGACCCCCGCGGGCGCGGAGAAACGCGGGTCCCGGCGGGGCCTTAACAGCCAGACACCCCGACTCGCGAACCCCGCGGTCAGCACGGCCGTGCCCGGTCGCCGGGCCAGGCGCGACGCCAGCTGCTCTAGGCTTTCGTAAGAGGACACTCTCCAGACCATCCACGCCAGCTCCGCCCCGCCCCAGGCCCGCCCCTCTACCGGAAGTCCAGGCTATCTGGTGACGCCCCTTGGCCACGCCCCACAACTCGCGGAGAGGCCCCTTCCCAGCCTGGGCCCGCCCCTTAATCGGGCCCCGCCCCGTGGGCAAGGCCGGTGCCGCTACGGGAGCCCCACCCTGCGGGCAGACTCCTCCCACGGCCCGCCCCCCAGATTCCCGAGACACCCTGGGGTGTGCGCTCTGCCCGGTGACCTCGGTTTCCCGGCCGAGCTGGGCCGGACATGCTGCCCGACTGCCTGTCGGCGGAGGGCGAGCGGCGCTGCCGGCGGTTGCTGGCGGGGGCCACGGCCCGGCTCCGCGCGCGACCTGCGGCGGCCGCGGTTCTCGTGCCGCTGTGCTCGGTGCGTGGGGTCCCGGCGCTGCTCTACACGCTGCGGTCCAGCCGCCTGCCCGGGAGGCACAAGGGTGACGTCAGGTACACCGGCCGGGAACTCCTCTCCCTTCTAGGAAGAGGCCGCTGAACCCAGAGACCACAGGGTCGTGGGCAAGGCACTTAGCCTTTCCGAGCCTCGGTTTCCGCCTCTGTAGAATGGGTCTGGGTCTGAGAGCCCGTCAGGCAGAGGGCTATGGCGGGAGTCAGCAACCCACGTCCCTCCGCCCCGAATCTGGCGCCGCAGGTGGTCCTGCCCGGGCGCCGCGCGGATCGCTCGACACCTCGTTCAGATCTGTGTCCCCCTCCAGAAAGGCAAGACTCCGCCCCCTTCCAGCGACTACTGGGAGATTCGTGTCCCCGAGCCGAGGAAGCGCGCGGGGCGGGGTTACCTGGCTTCCCGCCCTGGCCCCGCCCCCGGCGGGAACTGGGGACACCCTAGAGTCAGTGTCAGCGCCTCTGGGGCCACCATAAGCAGAGTTTGCATGTCTGAGCCCCAGGGCCTCTCTCCCTTACTCCCGTTGTTCAGGGAAGTAAACTGGGCCTGGAGAGGTCGTGTGGCTTGCCTAGCCCTCTCTGCAAACTAGGGGCGGAGACGTTATTTAGGTGGGTCACTGCCACAGCCTCCACCCCCACCCCTCCACGGCCCCAGCAGCCCGAGAACCAGGCTCCCTGTGCCTGTTCAGTTTCCCGGGAGGCAAGTGTGACCCCGCTGACCGCGACGTGGTGCACACGGCCCTGAGGGAGACCCGCGAGGAGGTGGGCCTGGTTGTGCCTGAGGAGCACGTGTGGGGAGTCCTGAGGCCCGTGCACGACCAGGTAAGCCCGCCAGGCCCTGAAACCACCACTGGCCCTTGCCCCATTCAGCCCCTCTGCTTGCCCTGGGCTAGGAGCAGGGACCCCAGGGACAAGGAGGGTGGTCATGGACTGTGGCAGTCACGGAGTACGGTGGGGACACCTGCCTGGCAGTTGTGTTCCACCCTCACACAGCCCGTCAGGAAGGGGCCAGGGGTATTTTATCCCCTTTCACGAGGGATACTGAGGCTCAGGTCCTGGGGTGGAGGTGGCTCCAGGGTGAATCAGCTCTGCTCTGCTCCGTGGACAAAGGTTGGGGAGGGCTTTGCAGGGTAGGCAGGGACTGAATGACCACTGGGAGATTTTAGGGTAGTAAAAATAAGGAAAAGCGAAGGCCCAGAGGCCTGAATGGGTCCAGTGTGTTTGGGGGGCCTGAGTCAGTCAGCGTGGCTGGAGCGAGTCCAAGGGCAGGGGCCGGGTGGACCTGGCGTGCACTGCTAAAGGCCCCTGGAGTCTTCCTCTCAGGCTCCCTGCCCCAGCCCCAAAGCCCTGTCGAGGGCGTGCCTCCCCTGACTGCCTGCCCTCCTCCTGCCTCAGCGAAAGACCACTGTGGTGCCGGTGCTGGCCGGCGTGGGCCCACTGGATCCCCAGAGCCTCAGGCCCAACCCCAATGAGGTGAGTGGGGAGATGCTAGGGGTGGAGTCTGGGTCGTCCGGATGGGCGGAGGCTGCAGTGGCCAGTGCTCTGTCTACCCTCTCGCTGCCTCCTGCCCACAGGTGGATGAAGTGTTTGCACTGCCCCTGGCCCATCTGCTGCAGGAACAGAACCAGGGCTATACCCACTTCTGCCATGGTGGCCACTTCCGCTACACACTGCCTGTTTTCCTGCACGGGCCACACCGGATCTGGGGGCTCACGGCCGTCATCACTGAGTTCACCCTGCAGCTGCTGGCACCTGGCATCTACCAGCCCTGCCTGGCCAGCCCTGAGCTGCCCAGGGGCTGATGACCTGGCCCTGAGCAGCCCCTGCCTTTGCCCTGCCACGCCAGCTCCACTCCAGGACTGAATAAAGAGCCTTTGCCAATTCCGTGGCGACTGCACCTTCTGCACTGGAGCCCTGACCTTGGGCAGACCCCATGGGACAGCTGGCCTCCTGGCTAGGGTGCCTCTGGATAATCACACTGTTACTTGCTGTGCCCACTCACTGTGTGCCAGGTGCCTGGAGTCTTTTTCTCATTTCACTCTCACCACAACCCTGTGAGATGGGGCCAACGCTGTCCCTGGCTGGTGAGACTGAGGCTCAGGGAGGGTAGACACCTTGCCCAAGGTCACCCCGGTTTGGGATTTGAACCAGGCCCTCTGTGACTCCAGAGACCAAACTCCTAGCCACTACCCTGTACGAGCTCCTGTTCCATCTTCCGTGCCTGGCTGACCATGTGCTGGGCAGTAGGCATCCAGAAAGGAGCCCTGCCTGCTACTGCAAACCTCTAACATGCCAAGCTCCCACCATGTGCCAGGTGCTATGCTGGGGTCCCATCTGTGCACCAGCCAGATGCTACTCTGCCTTCTGGGGGTGCTCAGTCTGTGGGAGATCTAAGACCAGGTCACACAGATAATCATGTGATTGTACATTAATTATTCACAGATATGTAATGGAATTATGTTTCAATCATGTAAATCTCTGTGAGAGAGTTGAAGGGGTGGGCAGTCTAACCTTGACACGGTGGACTGGGCAGTATTAGGCAGGACAAGTGATAGAAAACCCTGCCCACTAGCTGACTTTGCCAAAGGAAGAATGGTGATTACAAACTCCAGAGATAGACCAGCTTCAGGTATAGCTGGATCCAGGAGCTCAGGGACTCTTCTTTCCACTGTATTGGCCTCACTCTCAGGAGCATTCTCTACTCCACAGGGGTGAGAGGTGAGGAGAGGGCAACAGCTCTAGGATGGCACGGTACCAGCATCCCATCAACAGAAAACAGCTTCTCTTTCTGGGCCAGTCTATCCCAGAATTGTACTTTATTGGCCTGCTTCGGGTCACATGCCCTTCCCTGAACCTGTCACGTGGCTGCTGGATTTGGAATTCATTGATTGGCAGGGTCTGGGGCACAGGCCTGGGGAGCAGGGTGAACCTCCTAGAGTGAGAGTAGCGAAGGTGTGGCCCCCAAAGGACCCCTGGGGAAAGACTGGGAAGGTTGAGCAGGTAAAGGCAGCCACGTTCCCCTGCAGAGAGTGACCTTGAGACCATAGGTAAGCGGGAGCAGGCCAGGTCAAAGGGCAAGGGAGGAAAGTCGGGGCACAAGGAGCAGCATGTGCACACAGCTTGGGGTGTTCTAGGAAACCAAGAGGGGCCGTGGGGACATGGGGGGAGGGGCCCAGCACTCGGGGCCCCAGTGAGCGGCCAAGGGGACCAGCCTCAGTGATGGGTTAGGATTTTATTCCAGGCTGGCAGAGGGGGAGAGAGGTGCCGAAGTGATCAGATTCAGGTGTTAAGAAGCTTGAGCTCCAAGGGGACCGGGTTGTGGTGGCACCCCCACCCCGTCTCTGCAGAGCCCTCCCCGCCCGCCCATCTCCCCTCCCCCCAGCCTGCCCTCCACACCCCTCCCCCTTCCCACACGCCTCCCCACACGCTCTCCCCCAACCCCTCTGTCTCACCTACCCCTTCCTCCCCACACTCCCCTCCCATTGCCCCTCATACCCCTTGTATCACCTCTGGCCCTCCAGCCTCACCTGGGAGCAGGGCCACGTGATGGCGGTAAAAATAACTCTCCCGCTGTGTGTGAATTGGGGAGGGGTTGGGGGAGAAGGAGGGAGGCTGGGCCCCAGCACTAGGGAAGGGGCCCTTGGGGTGGAGGGCAGGGAGCTGCTGGTCTCCTGGGCCCCAGAGAAGCGTTCTGAGTCCCACCCCTTCCCCCGTCCCCAGGGCCACACTCTGGCTCTCTGGGTCACCTCCGTCAGGCGCACACCCAGCACCCAAACCAGATGGAGGAGCTCTCAGAGCAGTAAGTAGCCCAGCCGGCCTACCTGCCAGCCCACGGGGTCCCCCTCCCGGCTGGAAGCCCCCACCCTGCCGACATTGACCTTGCGCTCTGTCCTCAGGTCCCAGCTGCTGCCCAGGACCCCCCCGCCCCCAGCCAACACCCTCAGTGATGCCTCCTCGCCCTGTCTGGTTGGCCTGATGCGGTGCCCTCATCTCCGGTGCTCAGGGGCTCCTCTGAGTGCCGCCTCCATGTCCAGGCCCCCATGGCGGGCACGGCGGGCCGGGGGCAGTGAGTGTGCAGGAACACGTGGCTATTGACGTGAGCCTGGGCCCCATCCGGCCCATCCACCTCATTTCCGACTACTTCCCGCACTTCTACCCCTTCGCTGAGCCCACCCTGCACACCTGAGACCTACACCCTCCAGTGACCCCCACCATCCACTCTGCATCCCAGTCCCAGCCGGACCCAGAGCCAGAGGGAGACTCAGACAACAGCAGTGAGTGGGTGCGGGGGACAAGGGTGACCCTCTGGGCCCAGCCCAGCCAGGATGGGGTCTGGGGCATCCCCAGGCTTCCGACCTGGGGAGGGGCAGGGCAGGAGGCATGGCGCCGGGGCGGAGGTTGATGTAGAAGCTGACCTGCTGGCCACCTGCCCTTAGCCACCCTTGGCACCCTCAAGTTCACGCTTCTTTTTTTTTTTTTTTTTTTTTCAGTACGCAGGCCTCTCACTGCTGTGGCCTCTCCCGTTGTGGAGTATAGGCCCTGGACGCGCAAGCTCAGCGGCCATGGCTCATGGGCCCAG